GCAGCTACTTACCCCCCAATCATCGGTGAACGAAACTGTGGCAGCTACAACCAGTGTACGACCAGTACGCGGTTATTACAGCTGATAATGATGATGATGATGATGTTTCAACACACTTTCTTTCGAAACACACCCTTATCACGTATTGTGACAGCTGCGCCGGTAGCCTAAGTGGGATTCTCACTTCCCACGTATCTTCTGAAAAAAATATCTCAAGGGGTCGATTGTGTGGTATTCCCTTCAGGGATACTTTATTAATGGAAAATGCTTTGTAGGGTCGGCGAGAAGTTATCACCTCTGGGTGCCGGCGTCTCTTAAAAGTCGTTAATCTTGCGTAATATATTTGCAATAAATTTGTAGGTAAGTTTTCCAGGATGCAGCCACTGCTACGGTGGTTGCTACTATCCAAGACCATATGTCAGTCTGGCTACCGGTATAAACAGCAAAAGTCCTTTGGATGGATAGGCTTTGGAAAAGGAATGTGCGCATTGTTGAATAGTAGGTTGCTGCTATCTCGAAAATGAAGAACTCAGGCGCATCGATTAGTTTTCGTCAAATGTTTCTAGTCAATATACATTAAAAACAGCTGCCTACAAATGAAGCAGATGTCCTTAGTGCCACGTGGACGTAAAAGTGTTGTAGGTAGATAAGACATTTTATATTCTTGATGGATTTTTTATTTCAACGCTCCATTTGGAGAGGTACTACTCACTTCGTGAGCCTACAGTAAACGATAGTCTCAAGACCTCTCCACTTAGTTACAAATGTTCACACCATTGACATGGTTGGCGCTAACCCTTCTGGTGGGACTCAAGAGCTTGTATGAATGTGTATGAAGTTGGTCAGTGTGTTTCAGTATTTGACCACAAAATGGGCGTGGCCCGATTGACTGACACCCGTTGTGTTTAAGAGTTAAGTGTGATGACGTGCCATACTAGTTAGCGCGTGAATTACACCAGCATGCTTACTGGTGTGTACAATCCTTTCAGTAAGCCGGAGAACCGACTGTACACCGTAATACACCGTATTCATTGCAGGGTTTCACAACTTGTAACGCTGAATGGCACATCGAATAATTTATGACTAGAACAAACTGATCCCATCTAATGTGTAATTTTCATCTATCACTTGTGTCTGAAGTGAGACTGATTAGACATAACAAGGTCTGAAACCCTGCAATGAATATGATATATTGTTGGGCGGCCTACCGAGTGGTTCGCTTGGTGCTGATAGCAGTGAAGGAGTGAGAGCAGGAATTTAGTGTAAACTACCTGATGGTAAGTGTATTGGTGATTCCAACAGGACAGTCCACTTTTGGGTCCATCCAAATCAGACTGGAGATTTTCAGGCCTTTCGTCTCCCCATAGTGTATCGCCGTGATATTAATTACACCGATAGGTGAACATTTCACAATAAGCGCTCGGACAAACGTCGTTGCTTTAGATGTTCTTATAATGTTCGACTTATCTATCAAATAATACATTAGTCCTACCTTGATATCCAACATATGCATTAACATCTTACTACTGCTAAATGGCTGGAGTAGTTTCATTTGCATGCAATTTATTGTTTTCCTCAGTGTACTCAACGCGGAAGCAACACCAAATGAAGGCAACTGAGTGAACTCTGCAACAGAGGTGTTTTCAGAAATTTTGGCTGTGGCTTCCCAGTGATTTATTTTTCGGTAAGTGTGGGATTTGCGATTTCATTCATATTTTACGCCAAACCTGACAAAATGCAGGAATAACACAATTATGATACTTCTATTTTCAGGAACTTGTCTTTGATTCCAGCGGGTAACAGAACATCCATTACAGATTCGTCGTATACGCTTCACCGAGTCATTCGTCCCTTTATTTTTATAACAGATCTTAAAGACGTTGTTGTTTGTATTATATTGCATGTTTTGATTGCATTATACGAAGTATATAAAAAAATGCGTGTTTTGTTCTATATCATGTGGAACAGCGTCATGCCCACCGTGAGGTTTTGGAAGTTATGAAGGTGAGCATTCAGCCACACATTACTTCAGGCTTATAAGGACCGTAATGTACCACACAATTCTCCAGATACATGTAGCGTAATAAATGGGGTGCCAGAAACACTCTTGGGCCAAAAACAAAATAGAACGAATTATTCCGATGCGGTCGTCGGATCACTGGTTGGTAACAAGGAAGGCAAAAGATAAAGAATTTTGACACCAAGTTGTTCAAAAACCTGAAAACAAACCTTGCAAAGTGACACTGGTTTCTTTGCCGTGCCTGAATCGGTACTGCCGCTTTGAAGGAAAGCTGAGAAACTGGATCAGTACCGTCAGGTTAGATGTGGAAGGGTTCGGTCTCAATCTACTGCACTGTGTCCGCAGATGGAATAAGAACTGGATCTCAGTCTGTGTGGACATAGCCTGTGAGCGAATTTCGTGGGCAGAAAGACTAAAGATGCTTGTGAAACAGACTTGCCTGGTAACAGCGGACGGCCGCCAAAAAAAGAAGTAAGGAAGTGACGCATGCCAATGCCTTGTACCGAAACCGTGGGTACAGATACCATTTACTTCTATACAATATGTGAGCGAAAAGAGCTTTCAACCCACCTCCTCCCTCCTTTAGAGTTGTTTACCTTCTGATATCTCCTGATAAAGTGCCGTCCAGTAAGAGTACAGCAAAACAACCGGATCATTTTCCGAATCCGGTCATCTCACTGGAGTGTACTCCACAGCCAACTGCGCCTACTAGCCTTTGTTTAGACCCCACTGTACAGCGCGGTGACATCATCATGCTCGTGACCTAAAGAAACATTAGAGTTGACACTGCAGTATCTAGCTGCACACTGTGTACGACAGAATGGTGGTATTCACCCGTAATTTAGTCAAAGTAGCAAGTTCCGAGTGCCGTCTAAGGGTCGAATGCACGTTCTGAGTTTCTAATCCAGAAAATTACGGGTCAGAGCGTTGATAATCTCAATCTCCCGAGCATTTCAAAAATGCAGTAAGCAACTATCTAATCCACGTGACCAGTTTAAAATCTCCGTTAGCACAATCGATGTGCGAATTCCCGTTCCGTCACATAGACGCCTTACGTTCTCATGTCTAGTGCCAAGGAATCCAAGGACGATGATCCCACGAGCGAGGTACTAAGTACACAAAGCGCAGATTCGGAACCTCCAAAACGACCTACTAAGTGTGAACTAAAATCGGAAAAGGTAAAACGTCTATTTGGCTTTGGTCCGGATACCAACTGGCTTTGCTGGACAAATAGTTGGATCGGACTGAGTTATTTTATAACCGGGTTAATCTTATTCTTGATCCATGCGATAACCTATTCATGGTCGGCTGGTACACTGCAACTTCATTGTGCAGAAGGACGTTGTTGGTCATTTGCGCTTGAGAAGAACCCATATTCACATTCATACAACTTACTGAGGTATACGAAGTACTTGTATGACGATCCGCATATTGGACTGGGTTTCGGACTATTTCTTTTAATTTTCGGAGTTACTTCGGGGTTTCGATTCAGTCGCCTATTGGTAAATTTGGGCTTCATCTGCAATGTCACCTTAACGGCCACATGTATTCTTTTACTCCCATTCACTATTTTTGAACTACAATTAGCCTATGGAAGTCATGCTCAGGCTAAACTCGAAGCTCCGTGTCACTGGAACCGCATCCGCGCAAGCAATGATCTCGTGATGCTTGTGACTATGCTTTTGCTGAGTGTCTTTCAGCTAGTCATCAATTATCCTTACGTGCAATACCGTTCAATCAACCGTTTGGGACCACTCCTCTACTACATTAAGACCAGTCAGAGGTTGTCCAACATTAGACTGAAGAACAATACAACATTCAACGAGTTTACTGTATAGACGGGACCACTAAAGAATGCAAGTTGTCAGGAGTTCGCACTGTATAGAAAATTCCTGAAAGATTATCCTCCACTCCACCACAAAATGTTTCATGCACAAGCCTCAGTAAATCTGCTGACTTTCATGTCTCCTGAGAAGTGACAAATAGAGTTCATAAAAGACACTTGATCTAATTGAGAAGAAGTGACGGTAGGCCACAGTGAATTCCTGGAGATTTCAGCATTTCGTGCCATGTCGAAAGTCCGAGGATCACTATCAGTTGTTCCATCCCTGGTAAGAATCATCACTTGTGTGTCACAATTCTTTTGAGTCTCGAGCTAGCGACCTGGTCAATAAGTAGCTGAACAGTGTACCGTTCGGTCTCGAGTGGTGAGTAGCAAGTGTCACAATTCTTTTGAGTCTCGAGCTAGCGACCTGGTCAATAAGTAGCTGAACAGTGTACCGTTCGGTCTCGAGTGGATGAGTAGCAATCTTATTCATCTGCGCCTAGTCTAAATACCGTGTTCCATGTTATATGGATACATATGTAGGTGGTGGCTCATTTCTACTGCCAGTAAAGTTTAGCGAAATACAGAAGCGGTGACCAAAGTTGGTACGTAGTGCCCAGTATAACTGAAACTTTCTTGCCGGGGACATTTTTCATTAGAATTACGAATCCATTTTCTGATTGGACTCTGCGTTACCCATGCATTAGTACTGCATCCATACTATGCTCCTCACACGGTTTACTGAACAACCCCAAAACTGCCATGCTTTCTTACCTCCAATCGGTTTGTGCCTATCCCAGGTTCGCCAAACCATAAAAAGCTTGATGTAAGCTGCGCACGAAAAAATCACCAAGGGGGAACAGTAGGCCTTTTGGTCAATTCCCCTCACAAGTGACCCAGATACCACGTAGAACTGTGCTCACAGGGACATCTGTAGATTCAACTTATTGGACTGATGTACTGCCGTCGTCAAATCTTGCATAGTCATTACTGGACCGAGAATGAAGTTATCGAGCAACTCTTCTGCTTTCTATTTCACGCAAGTTGTCTGTTATCGGCAAACCTTTTTGTAACGCTGACAAAAAGCGAGAATCATTTGTTCTGGATTTGTATAAGCGATCGCTGTCACGACACAGCTTCTACGTCCCGGCTGCGTTCAGTCACTGGATTTGCATACTGTGCCGCTCGACGATGGTCTCTTTCGGGCGCCATCTCTAATGAAGAAAGCTTCTTTCAAAAAATTTTCATGAGTTGAATGTTCGGTGATTTCATTGTGAGTTCTGTTTTAACCAGCTGACGCGTGGACTTTACGGTGTCCACCGAAGATGGATTGAGTAGGTCTGTGATACCTAATGAAATAATCCACCAAGTTTTCCCCGTAATTTGACATGAAAACACAACTAAACTTTTTCTTGGTAACTATGCCACAAGTAATCAGTTAAGATCCCCGCCTTGCCGGGAATTACTCAGTGGTTTGTTGCGTCTTCGTCATACTACGGTCCAGCAGCTTAACCACCAGTTTTGTTGGCAGCATTATATGGTTTTATTGATTCTACCGTGACTACCACACTAATGAAGGTGGTAGCGTCTAGGTCAGTAGCACTGTGTCTTCGTAATCTACTGAAGCCTAACATATATTCTTCACTCTACTCAGAGTAATAACAAAGTCCTAATCGACTTCAAAGCATAACTTCATGACGTATTGTCTAAATGCCAGTTACTCATACAGCTGGTCAACCAATCTTGGCCGAACGGTTGTGAGTTCGAATCATCCTGGTGATGACTTCCGATAAAGATGAATCATCTGTACAAATTCTCGGCCTTTCAGTCTGTGCCAGAGTGAATCCTATTATGAGATGAAGTCCTCACAGGAGAACCAGACCAATAATGTGGTACGATTCCACAATGCACTTCACCCAGCGATTTACGAAGATTTCAGAATCGTTTACTTGCAGTTTGTTTAGGTTGAGCAATTGCCAACTTCCTAATTTTGTTAGTCAGGCCTGTAAGTACTGCCAGTTTGTAATGATTTTATTTAGAACTGGTGATCATTTGGCCAATTTCGTTCTTTCCTAGGTTAAATGTTCTCTGGTAAGCAGTTTGGTAGCTGCCAATTTAACTCTCCCGAAAACATATTTTCTCTTAGTTTGTTGACTTCATAGGACGCGATAGATGTCATAGTTGAGTGGGATAGCTCAATGTTTAGAGTGCGAATTTACTGACCAGATGGTCCGTGGTTCGACTTCCCCTTGGGCAACTTGGTAGTATTCCAGCACTTGTGCTTCCTTCGGGTGGCATGGCAGCTAGGCACCGAAAGGGTGTTACAGCTGAATGACCATCTTAATATATGTTATCTTTTAGTTGAGCCGTGTTATTTGTACGGATCACTTCTAGGAGGAACCTTGAGGACTAATAATTACTGGGATCCGCCACTGAGATTGAGGGAATCGTGTCAGACTCCGCTAGACGAATGAACGAGGCGTACATTCTGCAGTTAGCAGACAGCTGACGGAATTCGCCACAAACAGTGAGGTTAGGTAAGCCCTTCACTGCATAGTCATTTATTAGCAAACACAAAAGTGATTATCGTACAGTTTTTTAGAAACTGAAATCCTCACGCATTCTCTTAAGATTTCCTGGATATCCACTGACTATTTCACAGCAGTAAACGAACACTGCAAAGTGGTTCCACAGTTTCTGTAACAAACTTTATCTTCCATCAGATACAAGGTCGGAGTTTGAACACCAGATCATGGGCTACTCACATGCTCCATCAGCAGTATACACCGTTACTCCAATAGTGTAGACCAGATGGTAGCTCAAGTGACCAGGTGACGTGCCGACAAAATGAGCTTATTCTACTTGTAGCTTATGATAGCTAATATCTAGCAGTGCTGGAAACCAGACCGAAGTGTAGGAACTGACTCATCATTCTACATCAATCCGCATATGTGATCTCCAGTGAATTAGTCCACATGTCGAGACAGTCAGATCATTTCGAGTATGCACAGCCGGATGCCTAATCAATTCAAACATCTTGACAGTTACCACAATAGGTTCAGAAGAGTGGAGTTTTTATGCACCTGACTTGTTGATCGTTCGAAAGCCAGTTCCTGTGGATTAAATTACTTTGCATGCACTGGAAATTCGTTGCACACCCGCTTTGATTAGCATAAAGCACTTTAGAAGCAACGCGTCTGCGTTTGTCTTCTACGAAACGCCATGATGCAATTTTCATGATGGAAGCAGTGACAAGCTGTCTGATGACAACAACTGTCGATCGTGACTTCATCAATGTTCATCGAAGATCAGAGGGGTAGGAACTGGTGACTTCATGATTGTGATTATCATATTGATGGGTTCGCGCCACCGATGTGCAAGCAAGGCATAGGATCAACATTTAGGACAAGAAATGAAATCTAAACGAACACGAATCGATCCTGGCTCTTTTGATGTGGGTGAAGATAACTAAAACCGAAACACCATAATGCCAGCGGAGTTCGCTTTGGAAGGGTGTATCTACAGACGTCCAGCGTGGACCGCTCCATTTGACAGTGCACAGTCACGCAATTAACAGGCTTGAACCAATACAGGCATCATCTTTTACGACTGAGAGATATAGTTTTCCCAATCTAGAGATAGAAAGATATTCACTAGGGGCACAGTTCCAAGTATTCGACCGACATTGACCACACCACCGATTTCATTTTAGAATACTGAATGCACCTAACTGAGCAGCAATACTGTCGCTTGACCGGAGACGAAAATGTTCGAAGTTTTCGGTGAATAGATCAGCATCTGCTTGATCAACTAAATGACACCGGTCACCTCCTGAGGCAATTTTTAAAGCACTCTCTCTGCCTCATGTTACAATTGGAACGATATTCGATCCATCAAAGTTTGTCTTAGTTATGAGAATCTTCCCGACCTTTGTGCAGCAAATTCATTTGGTGACCACAACAAGGCGAAGATTCTGGCTCACTTCAGCTGATTATCCTATCACCATCAAGTTAGGTTTCTAACGACTGTTTGTAGCAACCGTGCACTTCGGTAGGGTTGATGGGAGTTTGGGAAGCTCAAAGAAGGGTGAATTCGGCACTGGACTGTCCCGTGCTTTCGTCGGCCTTCTCCTGAAGGAGCAATTTTGCGTAGTCACCTAGCCTCCCGATGTGCGCAAACTGAAAAAGGTATTCGTTTTAGAATTATCTGGTAAACATTTTATGAGTTTATGACTCGGCAAAACCTCGCTTTTGACATAAAAGCCTTATCTGGTCAAGTGAGTAGGTTACTAGGTTGGTCAGAGAAACAGCCAGGAGGTTCTCCTCTGACTAGCAACTTAAATCGGTTAGTGAGAGTTCCTGGGTCTTAGGGTTCAAGGAGCTTTCATCAGTGATTCCTCTTGGGCGTCACTGTTGAACTGTGTTGGTCCGTGTGGAATAAAAGGCGCAGAACTGGCGAAGTCGTCAACAAAATAGCTTAGTTATGACCTGAATAGACTAAGCCAACTTAAAGTCCACGTGATCTCACCCGTCTAACAGAACTGTTGTAGTACCTACGAATTCACATAAACCAACAAAACAATAGCACTCGACAGGAATTATCAATCTGATCACACTAAACTTGGACTAATCGACAACAACTTTCAACCGATATTCAACACTAACTGCGTTATTCGAGAGAGATCTTGCTGATTAGTTCGCCGCTGGTTTAAAACTAGGCTAACCTGTTAACCTACTCATTTGGCCCGACTTAGCTTTTCTGCCGAAAGCGCAGTGTTGCTCAGCTTTAAACCCACCAAACCATTCCAACGGTGACTTTTCAAACTGCCCCAAAGCCTTTTTCCGAGCAATGGTCCTCACCCTGTTTCCACTTGTCACCCGTTACGTAGTACTCACAATGCATAGCTGACTTGCTGAATGTTCTGCTCGACGGCTTTAGAATCCTACTCCTCATGAGCTTACTCTTGCAAACAAATTAAGCGACCTTTTGAGGTGTTCCCTTTAGTTGTCTCTTGCAGTCTGACTTACTAGCAAATGATACTTTACCACTCTCATGCATTTGAACTCCCTGAAACAAATCGTCGAAAGGCTAGAACAGGAAAAGACTTGGGTTTGATTTTGACAGCAGACCCAACTGGGTCCAGTTAAATCCCCTATTTATAATGGTCAGCTTCAATGGATTGTGCTGCGCCAGGTAACTTCATGTTTTAGTCGGAACGAAGTTCGAGATATTGCAATCTATTGTCCATACGTGACACGCTGCTCACAGGGTTGAGGAACATCACGAACGGGCGCTTCAGCTGGATTCAGTTGCGTGTCCTGTCAAAACCAAATCGGTTCAAGCAGAAATTCGGAGACTGAGTCCACATGATGAGCCCGAAATGGAAGAGCTGAGCTGGTTGTGGGCTGTCGAAGAATTTACATCATCTTAATGAACAGTGTGCTACGTTCAGACTCATATCTATGTCTAGATTACGCAAAAGCCCAGGCAGTGGCTAGTTTGTAAAAACTGATGACAAAAGTGGCAATCTAGTGGTCAACGACAGTTGATCCACCCAGTTAATGATGCCCAAGACAAGACAAAACAATCAGTATAAAGATATTTTTGCATTTCTTGCTGACACCCCCTAAAATCCAATGAACTTAATCTACCTATGATCTGACAAGCGTGTTATATGTATATTGCAAACTAAGTTCTTCCTCTCGCAGCAGCTAGGCCAGCGTATATTTCGATCTGACCATACTTCCAAGAACGGACACCATGAGTTTTCTGAGATCGGATTTGATTGTACTGCTCCTTTCACTTTCCGTTCACTTTCCGTTTTTCGAAGGACGTATCTGAAGCACCGTGGTCTACACTGTTTTAGGTACACTGTCGCATAGGTTTAACACTCATCAGATCTTCCGTGAAAATTTAGTTTGTTGAATAGTCTCGACCTTTTCCACTGGTCGGATTATCTGAAGATGTCGGCAGAAGCTAGGACCGAGACCCATACGGTCTTGAGTGCTTACTATCCGCAACACCCCCCACCCCGCCAAAAAAAGAGAGACTTTAGCTTACAGACTTTGAAGCAGTGGACGGATCCGTAGCGTTAGCGACATTATTTCGCACGACTACAGAAGTCATTTGACACACCTGTTTTTTTTTGCAAGTCACTTTCCCGAAAAAGAGAACCATCCAGGAGAAAATTTATTGTATAGAAGGCGCCAGAAGTGTCGTGGTGGTTACCGAGCTATTTAGTGGCGCCGATGGATATCGGATATAGCTATACTACGTGCTTTATTTACGAAAAACCATGTGCGTCCGTCACTGGAATCTATTTCTGTTGTTAAAGTTCAATGCAATGTGCACCCAGTGACACGTGGCCA